TATCCCTTTCGTATAACATGTGACCAAAATATGAGCATTGGATTCTTGGTTGTTGGTTTAGTAATAATTGACGACGGAAATTGATTTCGCGCGTTCGAAGAATCAAAATCAGGCATTTATGCATATTCGAAACATACTTAATATCCTGCGTCAATCTTTTGCACCCACGTTGGCAACAGTTACTGTTAACAAGTATGTGAATTTTATGAGCATTGGATTCTTGGTTGTTGAGTTATTTGCGGTCGACGACGGAAATTGATTTCGCGCGTTCGAAGAGTCAAATCAGGCATCTATGCATATTCGAATCATACTTAATATCATGCGTCAATTTTTTGCACACACATTGGTTGCCGCTAACAAGCATGTAAATTTCATGAGCATTGGATTCTTGGTTGTTGGTTTAGTAATAATTGACGACGGAAATTGATTTCGCGCGTTCGAAGAATAAAATCAGGCATCTATGCATATTCAAATCGTACTTAATATTTAGCGTCAATTTTCTGCACACACGTTGGCAACAGTTACTGTTAACAAGTATGTGAATTATGTATCTTGTAAGTCTTCACTATAAATTCCATATTAACATAGAGCTTTCACACCACCAAATAAGCAATAAATATTTAGCAAAGGAGAGTATTTACTAGCAAGGGAGAGAAGTTATTGTGGAAAATACAAACAAACTCTTTATTATTATGAGTCCCTGACCCAAGGGTGTTGAAGTGCTTCTGTTGCAGATAACTGTTTCTCTTTCAACCTGTTTACAAAATCATTACCATCTCCTGACTCTACAAAACTTCCAAACCTATTTTCCAATAGTTTCCCTAATTGGTACAATTCAGATTTTTCAGTATAATGACCATCATCCAATGTCCTGCAGTCCCATCCTTTAAGCCAAACATCATCAGAGACTCCTTCCTCATTGTTACCATCTGCAGGTCCCCCATGTTCAAAATCAATTAATACATATTCACCATCTGTCTTGTTGGAGTAGATAGATGGTGGAACATATACAATATTTGGCCACTGAATGTCACGGTGAAGAAAGTTCCCTTCATGTAGTCTGGCCAGTCCACTTACCAAATTTTTTGTCATTTTTCATAACAGATATTCATCAGTTGGTGAGATGTTGAGGCCCTGTGTGATCAGAGAGAGCTTATATTTTCCATTTCGATCAAGTTGAGGACCTTTCAAAACCTGGGCAAGTCCTGAATGGCCCTTAGCATGAGCATACATCCTCTGTAAGAAACTGATATGAACATCTGGATCAGCAAAGTAAGGGAGATCCTGAATTGCAACTGTCTTTCGGACATGGTCAACACAGTAATATATGCTTGATGAACCCATTTTTACTGTCTTGCCAAGAGGATAGGTTATATTTGGAAGGGAATTTTTAACAGTCATAATTAAGCGTGAAATGTAGATGATGGTACAGATAACATTTATCCTGTCATGAAAAGTTCTCATGTCTAATGTCTCAGAGATAGGAAGAAGTGGGTCACTTAGTTTTTCCATTGAGCCATCAATGGCAAAAAACCTGATGTGTGGCCCTGAGCCAGCATAGCTAATCATAAATTTTATTCCACCAAACAGCAAAGGGTTGATCTTACCAAATTTAGACCACAAGTCATCCTCAGCATCTTTGAGTGAATCTGCCTTCTCTTCACCCAAAACAAAGAGCACACCTTCACCCAAACAAGGAGATCAGGGCGAGTATGATTTCTTGTTGTTGATGCCCTTACATAATATCAACTCAAGTCAGTAACTAGGCTATTAACAGAACAAATTAAAATCAAAAGAAATTCTTAGAATAAACATACGAGTCTGTCTTGTTCCAGTCCACCTCAATTGGGAACTTCCCACCAAGACTGCGTTTAATTGTCTCAAGCAATACTGTATTCATTGAGTCTAGGGGCCAATGCAAAGTATCTTCTGATCCACCAGCACCAACAAAATTTCCAATCATCTCCTGCAGTGCACTGGTGATGGTGATTTGTAGTTCACCATCACTAATTTCAATAAAATCTAAAAGAGTAGGGTGCCAACAAAACCAGATAATGAAATTAGAGGTAGTTATTGGCAGAAAATTGATCACCATTACATACAAACCTCATCATGAATTTTTCTAAATAGGTAGGGTGCTACAGGTAACTTTCGAATGAGTGGTGTCTTAATAAGGGATTGGATTTCTCGTGCAAAGTTTGGTACAGTGTCAAATGGCTTTATGAGTTCAGTACAGATAGCATCAGTTGGATCAGCCATTGCTAAATATAAAGCCAGCAAATTATGATTTAGTCTCTTTGACAAAAACCCGGCTTTTCTCATAAAAAAGACAATACCTTGGTCAAAATCTCGTTTTGCAGATGCTGAGAAAGTTGGAGGTAAGGGCAGGGAAAAAAGCACAAGAATAAGCAAGCATTCGGTATTATTAGCAAAGATCTTTGAAATAAAACACCTCACTACTTCTACTCTATGTCCCCAACGCCCGAGTCACAAAGTCGTTACCTGACGGGGCGGTCGATGCCGCCAACACATCCACTAGTTTACTCACTAGCGCCTCGCGCGCCTCCAGCCGTTCTCTCCAGAACTCCTTCTCCCTCTCAGTCTGTGCCTCTCGCAAGTTCTTCTCTGCCTCCGTCACACTCCCCTGTGCACTATTCAACGCTTGCTCAATACTAGCCATTTTTTCGTTCGATGGGAAGATGCGCTGCGCAATGTGATCTTCCCCTTCATGCAGAATGTGACCAATGAGAGTTGATGCCAAAATTCACACGCATTAATGACGTTTAGTTCGAATATCGTGATTCAAAAAAAGATTTTGCTATAAAAAAAACGACCCGAAATTGAGCTATTTTACGAAAAAGCTTCGCGAACTGCTTTTACAAAATCTGTCTAACACTTTAAAATGTTTGCTCTCACAAGCGAATTCATTCTCGGATTATTGATCGGAATTATCCTTGGATATTACCTTTATTATAAAATCCACAACGATCAGCTG